GGAGATAAAATCAGAGCCCGTGGATGTTACAGGAAAGCTTTTGAATTAGATGACAGTGATGCTGAATCTGGAGCTGCAGCAGTTGACTTAAGTGTGGAGCTTGAAGAGATGGTATGTCTAATAATTTAAACACTTTTGTCTTTTTTTTACCCTGAGTATAGAAATAGAAATACTTTATACATGTATACTTGAAGTTATTATTTTTATTTGTAGATGTAATAGAAATATTTTTGCCACTGTTTATAAATAGAATGAACTTTGTTTTTATTGGCAGAAATCATATTACTTAATGTTAAACTGGTTCAGTTTATACCAGTGCATAAGTTTAAAAAAATCAGGAGTGGAAAATGAAAATATATTTGTGTACTTTACATACGTGTTCGGTAGTTTTATAATATTTCACATCGCTAATATTAGTCTTCTGTTATTGTTAGGAAACTGCTTTAGCTGTCCTAACAGCCGTCACGCAGAAGGCAAGTGCTGGAACGGCCAAATGGGCCTGGCTTAGGCGAGGACTGTACTATTTGAAAGCTGGTCAACATTCTCAAGCTGTGGCTGAGTAAGGCGCCTTACTATGTTTAAACTCTGTTAGACAGCCGAAGGTTTCCTTAAGTTAAACTCCATTTATACCCAAATGACTTACAAGTTGCTTCGTACCAGGTGGTATTTTGAGGGAAGAAATAGCAAAATTTATTTAGGGTTGATTGGTTCTTATTATCTGCAAGGCATTGGAATTACTGGACAGTGAACTAACTGAAGTCCTCTTGTTGAGGAGGTGTACGTCCAGTGATGTGACATCTTGATAATATCATATATTATAGGGTTCTTAATAGAAATTCGAGGAAGGGTGAAAAGCCAATGTTGATATCTTTGTTGTTCTCCCACTGATGAGCATTGTTTGGGACAGGGGAGATGTTGGCAGCTTGAAGGGCGTTTGGAGCAGTTCATTTTTAGTAATTTGGTTTGAACTGTACTTAAGGGTGAAGAAAATATCTTTGAATCAAAGTTGTTTCTGATTTACATTATCATCTGGAATACAGGCATTTAAAACTTTTTCATGGATATGGAATTTGATCAGAAACTTAAAATATGCCTGTTATTCCTATTTTTCTACTCTTATGTTTTTGTCTTGTTAGGAGGCTTGGTGGGGGTTTATAGG